TGTGTCCGAGGATTAGGACAGAGGATGTATTATATGCTCAGGTGAAATAGTAGATAAACTTTACAACTTGCAAAATGGCATCACAAGAGCATCTACAGCAACTTATGAATGACGAGACTGATGATTCCTCCTCTAACTCGTCGGCATCCAACATCGCTGGAGGCGACACCGAATCCGCAATTGCAGAACCCGTCACGACAACTGCGATCACGCCCAAATTCAAGCTTCCTGCGCCCAACCATCCACCCGCCAAGAAAAGAGTGAAGATATCACTGAAACCGTCTACTACGCCCGTGAAAAATGATGATCTTGAGGACGAAGTGGAATTTCCAGATGCCAAACCCTCACTTTCAATGGCGGCCTCCTTTCCGAAAGTACCGGCACGACGTCGATCGCAATCTCCGACACAAAGACAACGACTCAACAAGCGATCACTACCAACAAAACAGAAGGCTTCTCCTCCGAAAAAGGAAGTATCAGAACGGGAAATCGAAGCAACGATTGTTGACAGTGATGATGGAGGCGACGATGACGCAGTGGCCACAGCGATTGCGGATGAACCAACGCCGACGCTTGTGGCCAGCAGTGAGAGAAATCAACAAAAGAAGAAATCGAATTTGCCGAACTATCGCTCCTTTCGATTGCCACCCTTTTCTTCTCCAGGTTTACTTGTCCCCATAAGTCATGCCGTAACCATGATCAAAGGAAAGCCTGCTGGCGATGATCCTTCAAACTCTGCGTCGTCTGGTGGACTCACTACTATGGGATCTGTTTTTGACCAGTACTTGACAAAATTGGGCTACACAGAGGAAACAAGGACCAAAATACCTCACATTGGATCAAGTGTAAAAAGGCACGTGGGGGATATGTTTGATAGCAACGTTAAGTTCACCACCCGGTTTCCGAAGCTTATACCCGAAGACTTGATTCCATCTGCATCAAATGATATGGACGACAATGAAGAATCCCGTTTCTCCCTTGCAGAAAGACTAATATCTGTTTTGGAGGTGGAACCATCTGAACCAGAAACGATCAGTAACGAAACAATCCAAGAGTCAAAAGCAGCAGCGAAGGACAACCATTCGGAGGCCCCAAGAAAGCGACAAAAATTGAAGAGCTGGAAAGATATGGCTCCACTTTCACTGACGCTCCCCTATCCTGAATCATTTGTTCGAAAACAGCTCGAGTATGTCGATGAAGTGAACAAGAGGTAAGTGATGATATGAACAGAAAACGGTGTCCATCAAGGTGGCGCCCAACTCACAGTTGCCCTCTTTCCTCCCTAAGAGAGTCAGCCATTCTCGCCTACAAGAAGGAAGTAGAGACATTGGAACGTGAAAATCCTGAATTATTGGAAGAGAACTCGAATGCTAACCAAGAAACAAAAAAGAAGCCAGCAACGGTTGTTCCCCCCATTCCAAGACCGCCGTCACCACCACATCTGTCGGACTTGGCAACTGTTGAAACTAGGGAATTCAATGATACTGCACACCCGATATATTTACCAAAGTCGAAAGAACTGCTTGCTCACTTGGACAAGGATTGTTTTCATATCTCGGAAGGCCGTTACTTTGGTTTGTCCTCCAATGTAATCGCTGATCCTCACTTTGTCGGGCCAGTAGCCCCTGGACTGAATGGGTTGAACTTGACTGCAAGTAATGGTCTGGCTACTGCTCCAGCAGGAGGTCTAAATATGGGGAGCTTACCGAGTCAATCCTCATTGCCAAACACATCCGTAAACAAAAGCGGCAGTGGGAAGAAAAGTGCATCACATTCACAAGCCGTATCCATACCCTCCACGACGTCGAAGAAAAAGAAAAAGAAGCCTGCGATTGCGCTACCATTGAGGCCAATGTCCCTCATAAAAAATGCTGCAGCCACGACAACGCAATAGTGTCATTCGACTATATTTAACTAAAGTGCCACAGTAGATCTTCATCTTCACTCATTAGCTTGACAACACCATTCGTTCGGTACGTGACCAGACAAACAACTACGGGAAGCTACTGTAACAAAAAAATCGGGCCATCCTGATGTTTCCAACCTTGCGGTATCTGCAACAACCTCCGACGTTTTGGTCTTCGCGATGAGGCTTCCGAAATCAATTTGATTTGTCAATGAACCCAACTGGACGGTTGGTGCCCAATCATTCCGTCTGTGCCCTATAGCCCAAGATCAGAATTGTGTACAACGGGGACATTTTAAGATTCAACTCACGGTTCCAGGATATGCCAGACTCGAGCTTTTTGGAATCCGAGTCCACGAAACAGAAGATTTGGGATTGTCCAGTCCGGCCCAACATACTACAAATCGACCATCAATCTCTTACAAACGAGGACCAGAATCCAGGATCGATATTTCGAATGATGGAACTCGAAGTTGTTGGTATACCCGCTTCTGCAAAACGTTTCTCAGAGTTCGAGGCGACAAAACTAATATAGCACCACAAATTGGCATCATACACTGAAGAACAAGTGCCAAACTATTCAGTTGAAACGTATGACCTCATGCTATCTCCACCTAGGCTCCTCCGAGTGTCCACAGAAAATTCAAACACACAGTACTTACATTGAGAAACGGATAAGGACTCCGAACAGATCGAGCACTACAGTTTATGGCGATAGTTCATATATATAGTGAGGCGCATCATCTGAAAGCAATTTCTAAATTTAGTTCTTTCAAAGTCTACAGCAGCTCCATTCGTAAGTCAAGATGAGTCGAAAAGAAACAGCAAAAGCATGTCGACGATCACATCACTCAAGTCTTCAACCACTCATGGATCGAATTGTGCGTGCCTTGGAGACTTCTTCTTTTGTCATCGCGCTAGCAAAGCAGCGGACAAAGTCGTCGAAATCGACGCTTCCACTCCTATACATATCAATCACGAAAAACAATAGCTTAAAGTAACTTTGACTGAGCTTAACTCAGGACATATTTGCCGTCGCATGGGAATAGAAGGCAACAAACTCGTTGAAGTCGACATTACCGCTCTTATCAATATCAATCACGGAGAACAGCAAATCAAAGTCACTTCGGCTCATACTACCAACCTTTCCAGACTCCAAGAATGTCCAAAGCTCTCCTTTCTCGAGGGTTCCTCCCTTATCCTTGTCGATCTTGTTGAACTTGGCGACCAATTGATCCGGTGACAGAATATCAGAGCTGCCAGTGATGGTGATGCCCTCCGCAACGCGATTCGCAAACATGGTGCGCACAACAGCCTCCTTTTGCTTCATTTGACGTCTGTGCAGAGCGAATAAAGCAAGGAATATGACCACCGTGATGGCAACTACGATACCAACGACTGCTCCGGCCAAGACGTACGCTTCTGGTTCTTGATACGGCGACACGGCACACTCAGGATCGTATTCGCACCAATCGCTTTCATCAGGACAGTAGCCAGACAGACATCCATCTTCAGATGGTCTTTGATCAGATGGCACATCGTACTCGAGGTAGGCTGCTTCGACTGCATCACGGAACTGCCTCGATGATGCCATCCGGGTGGCGAAAATGCGTGTCGAAGCCACAAATTCGTACTCTTCGCCTTCCGGAGTAGACGTGTCATACTGATCGATAGTAGTGGATAGTTGGCTGCATTCTGCATCAAGGCATGCAGAAGCGTACTGGACGAGCACACCACCTTCCAGGTAGCTCGAGAAGTGATTGCTTTCACCGGCAGGAAGACTGACGTAGGACTTGCGATCAAGGCTGGAGCCTAACATGGTTGACCCGAAGGGCAACATCGAAACGCTTCCGTCCTTCTCGAAGGTACTTGTTCCAAAGCGTTCATAAAAACCAGAGGTCCCACTCCATCCGCATTCGCCTGGTAAAAGGACATTATGCATACCCCCTGGCACAGGTAGAGTACAGAACGCTTGGGGCGGAGGAGGGAAGACTGAAGTCATTTGTTCGTATATTCTCGAGCCAGTCAACGTGATGTTGATGAACATTTTGAAGGGGGCTTGAGAATATGGCATTTGATTGGCTGCAAACGTCGTTGCGCCTTCCTCACGAAATGATGGCTCAATCACACGCCCATCAGGACCATATGCTGTGGCTGTTCCTTCGTAGAACCCTTCGAACTTTTTCCAAGCAGGATTCTGGTCGGCAATAGCATTTGAAGCAGCAGAATCATAGCGAATATCGCTTTCTGCAAGACAACGCGAAGAGTACCACTGGCCACAATCAACCGAAGCTAGGCGCCTACGGTCAGCAATTGCTTCATTCTCCACTCTTGAAAGCACTCTTCGGCGATGACCATGAGAGGGATCATTGTAGATATCGCTAAGCGGTCTCGTTGACGAATCATAGAGATGTTTCACCTTTGACTCAACGACCAACTCGAGCAGCTGTAGGTCTGTTAGCCCATCGATCGTGCTCTTATCATTTACCAAACTCACTGCGTTGGGACTGGTGCGTACGTTCCCAGCGAAGGTACGGTGTGTCTCTGTAAGCCTCTTTGCAATGTATCGAACCATTTCATGATCGAAATTGACGTTCAAAAGGGTCAGCATGTGAGCAGGAAAGTCACCGCAGTTCTGCATGATGAAGTTGTAGCTCTTCATTCTGTCTGGATAAGAAGAAACTTTTGCTCTCGCACTGTGAAATGCGTTCGCGATCTCCAAAAGGGGAAAAGTTCCAAGCGACAGACGAGGGAGATCCTTTGTGAGTGTGAAATTATGAACATTGACGCTACGGATTCCGACATTATTACGATTCGGTCTTGCATAGTAATCACTCTGCTCCATGGCTACGCTTGGACAATCAGAATTGCCAGATTTGTCTATCATGACTGGGGTTGAAACCACGAACACATGCTCGTCGACAACTAGAGAAGTCTCGTATTCCATTTCGGAACACGAATGAAGGATTCCGGCCCAACCGTCATCTTCAAGCTTGCTTAGTAGCCTCCTGGTGTTAGAAGAACTTATCGGAACTGGAATTCCAGGTACAAAGAGGTTTGCGACGAGGAAGACAGCGGCTAAGAACTTCATCATACAGGTACGATCTTGAACAAATGCAACTTTTTGAATGTAAAGGCGTATTTTGTGTAGTGTATCTTCTGTAATGTGGCCCGTCTTATTATTCTTTTCTTAGGACGTACACGAACACGTACACGTGTACCACACAGCAGTTTTCTTCGTACAGGAGTCGTTCTTCAAACACAGCGCGAATGTTCGGATCAGACGAAAACGAAACGCAAGATCAAATGACTTATGGCATTACAAGCTCCAAACCAATGTGGCAGTTTTACGGCACATTTCTAGTTTTAAAACAAGTGCTGCCATTACTTAGTTCCGCGATCACCCATTACAGTCGTACTAACAGTACTAACGGTAAATAGGAACGATGTTCGCTCCCCCAAGGATAGCTGGTTATTTCTACAGCACCAGTTACCATACAGTTGTACCTGGTACTGGTACTTGGTACCGGTGCATTACTTTGTCTACCGCAGAAGTCATTACCGAAGTTCTTCAAACAGAAGGCGCACCAAGCCCTTTTGCAACTCCTTCCGCTCACATCAGGAGATGCGAAAACGAAACGCAAGATTGAATGATTTAAGGCAATACAGTATGATACTCATATTTCTTTCATGATTATTTGCAAGGCCTAATCAGTTGCACAATTCTCTCACTCGCATGTGTCATAAATATGTGCGAATGGAAGTGAATGCAAATGACCAGTCACACTTGTCATAAAAGAGTCAGAAACTCAAATTCAAAAATGTCTCGTTGCCAATTGGGGGTGCTGGATCTGGATCCTTTGTAGTTCCTTCTAGCCAGTGATGAATTTCCTAGCTAGCTACAATACACTACTATTGCGAGCCTCTTCCAACCATAGACCTTCCCCTTCACTTCTACCAATTGACTTGACATTTGTCTCCTTTGCACCATTCGTTCTGTAGTACATGGCCACACAAACAACTACGGGAAGCTCTTGTAGAATAGATTCGGACAATCCTGAAGATTCCAACTTTGGTGTCTGCAACAGCCTCCTACGCTTGAGTTTTTGCGATGAGGCTTCCGAATCCAAATTATTTTGTGCTTTGGAACCATTTGATTTCTCAATTCACCCAACGAAACGGTTGCTACCCAATCCGTCTTTCCATTCCGATTGCGTGCCCGATCCCGCATATTCAGATTCAAATCAAGATTCCAGTAGATGGTAGACTCAAGCTTTTTGTAATCCAAGTCCACGAAACAGCAGATTCGTTTCCTCAAATCAGGTCGCAGTGTTCTCACAAAGTCCAAGAAATAGTAGTTGCGTTCCCTCAAACCAAGTCCAAGAAACAGCAGATGCGTTCCCTAAACAAAATCGTTTCCCTCTCGTCGGGCCCCACATACTACAAGAGAGACTTAAATTCTTTTGTCATCGCGCTGGCAAAGCAGCCGACAAAGTCGTCGAAATCGACGCTTCCACTCCTACCCATATCAATCACGAAAAACAATAGCTTAAAGTAACTTTAACTGAGCCTACCTTGGGGCCACATTTGCCATCGCATGGGAATAGAAGGCAACAAACTCGTTGAAGTCGACATTACCGCTCTTATCAATATCAATCACGGAGAACAGCAAATCAAAGTCACTTCGGCTCATACTACCAACCTTTCCGGACTCCAAGAACGCCCAAAGCTCTCCTTTCTCGAGGGTTCCTCCCTTATCCTTGTCGATCTTGTCGAACTCGGCGACCAATTGATCCGGTGACAGAATATCAGAGCTGCCAGTGATGGTGATGCCCTCCGCAACGCGATTCGCAAACATGGTGCGCACAACAGCCTCCTTTTGCTTCATTTGACGTCTGTGCAGAGCGAATAAAGCAAGGAATATGACCGCCGTGATGGCAACCACGATACCAACGAGTGGTCCCGCCAAGAAGTATGCTTCTGGTTCTTGATACGGGGACACGCCACACTCGGGATCGTATTCGCACCAATCGCTTTCATCAGGACAGTAGCCAGACAGACATCCATCTTCAGATGGTCTTTGATCAGACGGCACATCGTATTCGAGGTAGGCTGCTTCGACTGCATCACGGAACTGCCTAGATGATGCCATCCGGGTGGCGAAAATGCGTGTCGAAGCCACAAATTCGTACTCTTCGCCTTCCGGAGTAGACGTGTCATACTGATCGATGGTAGTGGACAGTTGGCTGCATTCTGCATCAAGACATGCAGAAGCATACTGGACAAGAATATCACCTTCCAAGTAACTCGAGAAGTGATTGCTTTCACCGGCAGGAAGACTGACATAGGACTTGCGATCAAGGCTGGAGCCTGACATGGTAGAACCGAAGGACAACATCGAAACTCTTCCGTCCTTCTCGAACGTACTTGTTCCAAAGCGTTCATAAAAACCAGAGGTACCATTCAAGCCGCATTCGCCTGGCAAAATCACATTCTGCATTCCTTCCGGCACGGATTGATTGCAGAAGGATGCTGGCGAGGGAGGGAAGA